ACAGCAATAGCAGGTAACGACCACGAGCCCTTGATGGATTATCTCATTTCATCCTCACTGTACCTCTATATGGAGGGTATTGTTATTATCCCCATTTTGCAGATGGGGAAATGGAAACACAGGGAGGCTAATAACTCCCAGGGCTGCCCACCCAGCACACAAAGTGACAAAATGGAGTTTGAACCAGACAGCTAGCTCCAGAGCCCATATGTACTCCAAGGAGGGGATGAGAGCCTGGTGGGCCACGGAGGCCTCTGAAGGCCTCTCCAATCTCCCCAGTCCTCCATCAGCCGTTCGTAGCTGGTTACAGTCCACGCATCCTCGTCAGGATGAGTCCTACATCCATACAGCATGCTAGCCTCTGCAACAGATTTTCCCTGCTCACATACCAGGAATGCTCAGCCACCAAAAGAACACCACCCCTCACCACCTGGGTAAGGCCCAGAATTCCTGTTACTCCATCACTTTCACCCTCTATTCCCTCTATGACTTTGACTTCAAGCTTCAGCCTTTAGGACTGCAGAGATTTGAATCATGGACTTGCAGGAAGTTGCAGAGTCTGAGAGGTTACCCAGTCCATTCACCCCGGACCCAGGTCTGTACCCGGCTTAAGGCCCTCCGTTACTCCCACATGTTAAAAGTTACCTGTTGGGAAATGCTCCACTACTGCTGACTTGCCAAAGCCAGCATGGTCTCCTCGCCAAGGCTGCCCTCTGCCCGCCCCCACATAAAACATCTGCTTTCTATTCTTTGTTGGGAACAATGTGTCCTTGAAGCCTAGGGCAGTGGGGCGAGGGCTTTGCTGGCTGTGCTCCGTGTCCCAAACCAACTGTACTCATTAAGCCCATAGTTCTCTGCTCATTTCACTTTTAAAGAGTAATAACTAGTGTGGCTTTCTGTTTGTTCAGCCTGAAAGACCTTTGTCCTCTCCTCCTTTCATCCAAATCCCCTTTCATGTCGCTCCATGAGGTTATTCTTTCCCAGACATATAACAAAACTCTTGTAAAATCAAGACCTTATTTACATGCAATAAAATTCACTTAAGTTAAGTGTATAACTGGATGAATCCTAGTTAATGTGTATAATCATGTGACCACCACTACAATCGAGATGGCAGAAGTTTCTGCGCTAGGAAACGTCTTTTTTAGGGTTTTGGGGCATGTTTTTTCAAGCCACCAGGTCAGGGACTCATACCTGGCACAGTCAACCATGTGGGATCCAGCTGCTTTCACCACCACACACACCTACTTACCCTAGTTTTGCCTGTTTTAGTATCTCATAAGAATAGAATCATGTATGGGGACAGCAGGGGTGTGGTGATTAAGGGCACTGGACTCCCACATGGCCGCTGGTGGTTTGAGGCCCAGACCTGGTGGCTTGCTTTCTCTCTTTCCTTCTCTCTATTTCTCTTTCTCTTTCTATCCCTCTCTAGTCAAATTAAAATAAATAAACAAATTAATTTTTTTAAAAAAAGAATAGAATTATGTAGTATTGTTATACCGTATTGAGTGTTGAGCTGCGTTGTGTAAAATCCTCTATTCTTTAGGTCCGGATCTCTACATAGTCTTTTGAATTTGACTTCTTTATATAACATATTTTCAAGGTTCATCCATGTTGTTTGTTGTATACATTCGTATTTGTATTTAATCTCATTTATAGTATGGAGGTACCAAAATCTGTCTATCCATTCACCAGTTGATAACATTTGGCTTCCACCTGGGAATGTTGTGAATACAGCTGCCATGTACACATATGTACACAGTTTTGTATGGACATGTTTTACTTTCCCTTGCATCAATGTTAGGAGTTGGGTTGTATGGGTGATTATAGGTGACTTTCTAAGTATGGCTTACAAGTGAGTTATTTTGTAAATATGCTTAACCTCGTAAGATACTTCCATAGATTCTCTTCAAAGCTTTTCAAAGACTTTTCCATTTTGCATTCCCACCAGCAACACAGGGGCATTCCTAATGCTTCACATCCTCAACAAAACTTGGTAGTCACTCTGGTTGATTTTAGCCATTCCGGTGAGTGACGTTTCATTGTGGTTATCAGTTGCATTTTTCTGATGACAAATGATATTGAGCATCTTATTTGTTACTTGTATATCTTCTTTTGTAAAATATCTGTTCAATATTTTGCCCGTTTGTTTATTTGCCTTCCTATTACATTGTGAGAGCTCTCTGTTTACAATCGTTTGTTGCCTAGGATGAGGATACATTCTGAGAACGGCATGTGAGACGACGTCATCATTGTTCAGTGTCATAGAGTGCACCTGCACAAGTTAGGTGGTACATCCGACTACACGCCTCGGCTAAATGGTGTGGCCTTTCGCTCCTAGGCTACAAATCTGTATAGCACATTACTAAATGGAATGCACTATTATATAATTATAATACACTGGTAAGCTCCATACACTTAGGCTACACTAAATTTTATTTATTTATTTATTTATTTATTTATTTATTTATTTGGAGAGGCTTTTGCTATGGGGCGCGTGCGCTCACCAGAAAGACAGAGAGACAGAAAGCGAGAAATCACCCCCCAGGGGGGATGGCCACGCCGCAATCCCCTCTTCTCCATTCTCCTCTTGGGATCTTGGGCATGCATGCACACGCGCCCTGCATAAGTTTAAGCCACCAGGTCCGGGACTCAAACCACAGTTGACTAGACTATGTGGGAGTCCAGCGACATAGCCACTATGCCAACTGTGGGTCCTGCACTAAAATTTTCTTTAAGGTTTTCTTTCTTCAGTAATAATTAACTTTGCCTTGGTTTAGCGTTTTTACTTGATGAACTTTTTAGTTGTTTTGACTTTTTAACTTGTTTGTAATAACATTAAGCTTAAAACGCACATTATATAGCTATATAAGTATATTTTCTCTTTATATGCTTATTCTAAAATTTTTTTTCTACTTCTGAAACTTCCTATTTTTAAAATTTTTTGTTGTCATTAAAAACTAAGACACAAACGCATATCTTAGCTCAGGCTTACACAGGGATCGTCAATACCACTGTCTTCCACCTCCATATCTCGTCGCATTGGAAAGGCTATGATGAACAAACAACACAAGGTTAAATCAAGCACAAGAGAAACTGGTGTGATCAAGAGACATGGTAGACACGAGATGTGTGAGACTGCTGCTGGTGTAACAGGACAGACTATTTTACAGCAATCTTTGTTCCTTCCCTCTTTGTCTCTTTGACTAGAGGGTGTATGCACTCACCAGAGAGAGCAAGAAAGTGAGGAAGTATCCTTCACAGGGGATGGCCATGCCACAATCCCTTCTCCATTTCTTCTTTCGGAATTTTGAGCATGCATGCACACACACCTGGCATGTTTTTCAAGCTGCTGGATCTGGGGAACTATGCAGTCAGCTATGTAGGATCCAGCCACTTTAACCACCATGCCAACAGCTGGCTCCCTTTTCTTTTTTTTAATAAGTCGGCGTGTACTCCAAAATAACAGTAGCCAGGCATGATGGTTCATGCATATTATTCCAGCTACTCAGGAGGCTGAGGCAGGAAGATAACGAGTTCAAGTTCAGCTTAGGCAACATAGTGAGACCCTGTCTCTAAAATAATAAAATAAAAAGTAGGGCCAGCCTTTGGCCTAGTGGTAAAGGCATCTGGATCCCACATGGTTAACCATGCAGTTTGAGACCTGGATCCAACAGCTTAAAAACATATATACCAGGTGTATGTGTGTGCATGCCCAAAATCCCAAAAGAAGGGAGAAATGGAGGAGAAGGGATTGCTGTGTGACCATGCTCCATGGAGATTGCTTTCTTGTTTCCTCTCTTTCTTGTGAGTGTATATGCCCTCTGGAAAGTTTTTTAAAAAATTGTTTAAATATTAATAAAAAAATTCAAATAGTGGTAAAAAAGAAGTATAGTATAGTAAATACATAAAGCAATAACTTGGTCATTTGTTATTATCAAGTACAGTATTATGTGCTGTACATAATTGTGTGTGCTACACTTTTATCTGACGGCAGCACAGTGGGTTTGTTTATACCAGCATTACTACAAAGATGAGTAATGCGTTGCACTATGACACCCCAACAACTATACAACAGGAGCTTTCCAGCTGCATTATAATCTCATGGGACACCCATTGTACATGTGTTCCATCGCTGATCAGAACACATTAGGGGGCACATGTCCCTATTCTGGATCCAAGCGTTTTGCTGTATGTGTTTCGGAGGTGAATTTCTTCCATCTCCTGCAGGCTTACTCTTGATGAGAGGTAGTTACACGGTGTGGGAAGGGTTCTGTGGCTGTGCTGCTTCCTATCTATGCCTCCTTGAGGAAATCCCTCCCCCTCTGTGAGCCTCAGTCTCTTTAGCAGTAGAATGGGAACAAACGCCTGCCCTTTCTTCCCCCTAGGGTTGTTACGAGCCCTAGGAAGAATGATGAGCTTGAAAGTGTTGCTGAACTCTTCAGACCTACGTGGCTAGGTTAGTAGTAGGGTCAAGTCGCTGTTAGTGCTGAGACCCTGTGTGTCACTGCCCAGGGCTGTTATGTTCTCGGGAAGGGGAAGTGGGGTGGGGGCAGTACACTTTAGTCCAAGATAGATGGTTGAGGGGGACTCAGGTGAACACTGTGAGAGGAGTGTCCCCGTGGGCTTCAGGAGGAGGAGGCATTTGCTCATGCAGCCAGCATATTCTGAGTGATCTCTCTGTGCCAGTCAAGGCCTCAGCACCGGGAACACGGCCGTGCCCTTCACCATGACCAGCGGGACAACCAAAGAGTAGATGGTGATTACGGAGCTGTGGGGAATGTGTCCCAGCAGGAGAGACAGCAGCACTGCTCAGGATCACAGCAGGGACCCTGGTCCCGTTTGAAAGAAGGTTACAGCCAGGCAGGCACAGGGACCAGCATGTGCAGGTCATGTGGCCCATCTGGCTCCCACCCTGGTGGATCCTAGTGCTTTGCAGAGAGCTCTCAGTGTGGCTGCAGGGACTCTCATAGCATCCAGTGTCTCCGTTGTCATTTCAGGGTCACCCCGAGGGAGCCGAGGATGGTGTTAGATGCCCCTTCGCAGGTGTCGGCTGCTCCTTCAAGGTAAGCATCTGAGTGTGAGGGAGGAGATCTGTCAGCTACAGTCTCAGAACTGCAGGCCTCTCTGTGCCTGCCCCTCCAGGATTGCCCCATAATATCATGTTCCTCTGCATGTCTCTCATATAACGACCTTCCCAAGTAACAGATCCCACTGTTTAGTCATCACAGGACTCAGGGTTGTTCTCAGCATCTCGCCTAACGGTATAGCATCACTAAAATGACCCCGCGCCCTTCTTCATGGTTCTTAATCATCAATGTGCCCCAGGGCAGGGTGGGATTATTGCCTCAGAGGCCTGGCAGCTCACCGTGGGCATGTCCAATGCCAAGGTCCTCCTTCTGAATCTCCTCACTGTATAGAGTGCACCTCCCCTTTGCTGGGTGAATGGACCTGACGGACTCACTGTTCTTGGTGACCTTGGACGTCAGGGCTTGCACTGCCCCCCCCCACCCCAGTCTTCCCTCCACCTGTTTTCACTAATCAGCCCTGCTCTCGGCAGGGAAGCCTGCAGTCCATGAAGGAGCATGAGGTCACGTCCCAGGCCTCCCACCTAAACCTGCTGTTGGGGTTGATGAAGCAGTGGAAGGCCCAGCTGGGTTCTGGCGCAGGGTCTGGACCCATGGCCCTGGAGCGGAACCTGTCTGACCTGCAGCTACAGGCGGCTGTGGAGGTAGCGGGGGACCTGGAGGTGGACTGCTATCGGGCCCCTTGCTCCGAGAGCCAGGAGGAGCTGGTCCTACAGCACTTCATGAAGGAGAAGCTGCTGGCGGAGCTGGAGGAGAAGCTCCGTGTGTTTGAGAACATTGACGTCAGGGCTTGCACTGCCCCCCCACCCCAGTCTTCCCTCCACCTGTTTTCACTAATCAGCCCTGCTCTCTCGGCAGGGAAGCCTGCAGTCCATGAAGGAGCATGAGGTCACGTCCCAGGCCTCCCACCTAAACCTGCTGTTGGGGTTGATGAAGCAGTGGAAGGCCCAGCTGGGTTCTGGCGCAGGGTCTGGACCCATGGCCCTGGAGCGGAACCTGTCTGACCTGCAGCTACAGGCGGCTGTGGAGGTAGCGGGGGACCTGGAGGTGGACTGCTATCGGGCCCCTTGCTCCGAGAGCCAGGAGGAGCTGGTCCTACAGCACTTCATGAAGGAGAAGCTGCTGGCGGAGCTGGAGGAGAAGCTCCGTGTGTTTGAGAACATTGTTGCCGTCCTCAACAAGGAGGTGGAGGCCTCCCACCTGGCCCTGGCTGCCTCCATCCACCAGAGCCAGCTGGACTGCGAGCGCATCCTGAGCTTGGAGCAGAGGGTGAGCATGAGAGGGTGAGCTTGAGGAGCCCCTCAGCCCCACCCTGTCTTCTCCAGGGCAGGGGCAACTTTCCACTGTTGTTCATCCTGCTCCGAGCAGTCACTCCCCCATCAGCACATCTCCCCTGGGTCTGAGGACTTTCTAAAAGAGCACTGAGTTAGAAACTATCATCCAGGCTCCCCGCGTCTCCGACCTCTCAGTTCCTTTGCTCAAACCCCTTCTCCGACAGGACACCGCCTCCCGGGCAGTTCTTTTCATTGCTGCACACTTCACACTATTAGCAAGTTCTTCCTTATCAGTCAGCCTCTCCATACCTTCCTGGCCCTCACCCTCAGGGCCCACAGACAGATCTGCCCTCCAGTCCCTGAGGCAACCCTTCAGAGGTGGCTGGTCAGTGATTACATCCTACTCAGCCATTTCCGTTGCAGGCAAGGTGTCCCTGCACCTTCATCCCTTCATCAGAGCATATTACGTTACTTCCTGCTGTTTTATATACTCTGACTCAGTCTCTAAAGGTTCTGTGTTCTTGAAGTGTGGCCCCAGAATGACTCCAGAAAATCCACATACCTGACAGTTCTCAGTCCCACGGTACCATCCCCACCTTTATTCCAGAGCTTATATTTTTCTTAATGAAGCCAGTCTTGATGCTGATATTACTTTTTGCAGCACGGTTGCATCGTTGTCTCTTATCAAATTAAACGTAGATTTAGTTCCTGTTCCACTACTCACTTGCTGTGCAGGTCTGAGCAAGTCACTGTCCCTCTCGGAGATTCAGCTTTCTCATCAGGAGAATTAGGGATACTCACTCCCACTCCTGGTTTCTCTCCCTGAACACACACAAGAATAACTGTATACTTTCAAGTTTCACTGGGGAAACCTACTAGAAGGGCCAGGTGCTGAGTTTGTGTAACTGAAGAAAGCCTTCACTAATGTCAGTCTTGTCCCTGTTTAACTCTGTCTTCATTTCACCAACCACCTGCCCAGCTCCACTCTTATATGCCAGGCACCGTAGAAAGAACCACATTTTTAAAACTTAAAAAAACAACTTACAGGGAACCAGCAGTTAGCGTAATGGTTATGTCGCTGGACTCCCATGTAGTCGACCACGGTTCGTGTCCTGGACCCGGTGGCTTAAAACTCACGCCGGGTGCGTGTGCGTGCGTGCCCAAGATCCCGAGAGGAGAATAGAGGAGAAGGGATTGCGGCGTGACCATCTCCCCTGGGGGGTGATTTCTCGCTTTCTGTCTCTCTGTCTCTCTCTGTCTGTCTGGCGAGCGCACGTGCCCTACAGTGAAAATCTCTCCAAAAAAAAAAAAAACAAAAAACAACTTACAAAAAAAAAGGAAGAGTCTGCCAATTGCAACTTTAATGGCTTCTCACATGTGTCTGAGCTTCGTGCCTTTCACATTGATCAGCACCTCCAAACTACCTGAGACTAATAGATATGGACTATGAGCGTGGCCCAGCCCTCAGCTGGAGAGACCACCTGGCAAGAAAGCAGAACGATACACCTCATCAAGCCATTGTCAGTGCTCTGGAAGCCTCGGAGTAGAGAGAGAGACCAGCTGGGCTTGGCAGAGGTTAAGACTGCAGAGGAAGGACCATCCAACTGAATTCCTAATGAATGACTAGGAGCTGCCCAGTGGAGAAGGAAGGAAAAGGACAGGCAGAGCTCAGTGGGGCATGATCAGGAAAGCATCCTGGGGCTGATTTAGTTCTTTATCCTGCCATCCCCGCCTTGTCCCCAACGGGGTGCCAGTGTCCTTGGCTGAACAGGCTTCCTTACAGGTGACAGAGCTGCAAGAGACCCTGGCCCAGAAAGACGAGGCTCTGGGCAAGCTGGAGCAGAGCTTGCGCCTCATGGAGGAAGCCTCCTTCGATGGCACCTTCCTATGGAAAATCACCAACGTCACCAAGCGGTGCCACGAGTCAGCCTGTGGCAGGACTGTCAGCCTTTTCTCTCCAGGTAACACTCCCAAGTTCACAGACCAGCTAGGGGAGCCAGCCCCCACTGAGCCCAGGGAGCAAGCGGTGAGAACTGCCCCCTCTGACAGCCAGTCTATGTCCATTCAGCCACTGAGCATGGTCAGGAACTGCAAGGACCGTGGGCTGGTGCGGGCAAGCCCAGCCCTGACTCGTGGCTCTCCACCACATACGATGTTGGGCTATTTGACCCCAGCCAGTTCTTTCTCCTCACTTTCTCTCTCTCTCTCTTGAACATAGGCATCCCATAGCAAAATTAAATAATAATAATAAATAAAGTAATTCTTTGTAAACAATGTTAAAAGCTGAGACCCAGGAAGAATGAGTCCCCACGGCAAAGCTGCACAGCAGCCAGGTGTGGAGCTGGACTCAGACGTGTTGCTTCTCCCCTCCTTGCCCCCTGCATGTTGGAGTAAATGGGAGGGCTGCGGCTCATGGAGAGCATCTCTGAGGGCCAGAGAGTGCTACACTGGTGGGATACCATTCTCTCAAGGCTCCCTACATAGAAAGGCCCCAGGTTCCCACATGCCCAGGAGCACACTCACCCCACTCTGCTGGACAGCCCCTTTCATGGGCAGCCTCGGATCTTACACAGAGGCTGTTTCTCCATCCCTCCAAAAAGGGAAAAAGCAAGCAGTGCAGTGGCTTCCTGTCCTGCCAGCACGTAATGGGCAGAGATGAATCACACTGTCAGCCTGTCCCCACTCAGCTCCTCCCAGACGGGCCCTCTGCTGGAAGGTGACAGCTGCTGGATAGGAAGGCCCTGTCAGCTTCCCAGGGAAGGAGCCTCAGAGGCTCCTGCACTTAACACCAGGGATGAGTCACCCCTCAGGGGCCCCTGCTGAGGGTAGGCAGCAGAACTGGGAGCTGCCACACTTGCCCCAGCCTCTAGGAATCTCCGGCCAGTTGGCCTAGGACAGCAGAAGGAAACCTGTGCTGGCTGGGCCGGGTCCGTGGTGCAGTGCTAATGTGCTGCTCGAGAGGTGTTGGATTCTATATGCAACCACAGTTCAAATCCCCAGCCCTGTCAGCCTGAAACACACCAGACACACACACACACACACACACACACGTATCCAAGGTTCGACAGGCTGGAGGATCAGAACAAGGAAGAAGGGCATCGTGGCATGACCAGGATCCGTGTAGGGTGATCCTCTCTCATGCTCATATATGTGCCTGTGCTCTATCATTAATAAAAAATAAAATCTTAGGAAAGAAAAAAAAGAAGCCCATATCGGGAGGCAGAAAGTCTAGTCCCTCATCCTGGCTCTGCCCCTGGCATGCCATGAGATGCTGGCCAGCCACTTGCCCTTCCTGAGCTCAGGTTCCAGACTGTACAGTGAAGTTTAGTGGTTCTCAAAGTGGGGTCCTAGGACCAGCAGCGTTGGGTCCCCTGAGAACTTGTTAGACATGCAGGTTCTCAGTCCTTACCCCAGTGCTCTTGAGTCAGAAGCTTAGAAGGCGAGGCTGGACAATCTGTGATTCAGCTAGCCAGGTGATAGCCGCTGGCCTTGATAACCACCCAGACCCTGCACCTCTTGAACTGTCTTATCAAAGGAGCACTGGACTTTAACCCCAGCTTTCTTATTAAAGTAATAATTCTAAAATATTTATTTTTAAATTCCATTTCTTCTTATTATTTTTTAATTTGATCAGACAGAGAGAAAGGGAAAGTGAGAAGGCAAGCCACCAGGTCCAAGACTCATACCACAGTTAGCCATGTGGGAATCCAGCACCTCTAACCACTACACCACCTGCCGGCCCCCAACAATAATTATTATTATTAGGTTTTTGCTATAAAGTGTATGCATGTGCATGAGAGAAACAGTGAAAGTGAGATATCATGCCCGGTGGGATGGCCACTCTGCAATCCCTTTTTCATTCTTTCAAGATTTTGGGCATGCATGCATTATGCCTGGTGTGATTTTCAAGCTGCTGGGTCTGGGACTCAAACTGTGCAGCTGCCCATGTGGGATCCAGTTACTTAACCTCTATGCCACCTGCTAGCCCTGCTTTTTTACTTTTTTACTTTTTAAGCCATGACCTGGGATATGCCTAACTGCCGGGTCCCGGAGTCTTCATGTGCAGTCTAGCCCTTCCCGCCTGCCTCCTGGCTAACTCTGGTTTCTGCATTCCAGCTTTCTACACTGCCAAGTATGGCTACAAGCTATGCCTGCGTCTGTACCTGAATGGGGACGGCACGGGGAAGAGGACCCACCTGTCGCTCTTCATCGTGATCATGAGAGGGGAGTACGATGCTCTGTTGCCGTGGCCCTTTAGGAACAAGGTATGGACAGGGCGGAGGTAGGGGGGATGGTGGCGAGGCAGGAACCTGGGTCCTAGACTTAGTGTCGCCATGAACTGGCCGCGTGACCAGGGCAAGTCCCTGGCTCTGTCTGCATTATCAGTTTCCTCTATTATAAAAGCAAGAGGCTGAGCTCTTGTAGCCAAGGCTCCTTCAAGTACCATGAATCCAGGAGCTAAAGTATCTGGGTCCGAGCACTCCTGAAGGGCAGTGCATATGGCAGCATAAAGAAGGTGCACTCGGGAACCAGCAGTTAGTGTAATGGCTATGTCGCTGGACTCCCACATAGTCAACTGCTGTTCGCGTCCCGGACCCAGTGGCTTAAAACTCACGCCGGGCGCGTGTGCGAGCGTGCCCAAGATCCCGAGAGGAGAATGGAGGAGAAGGGATTGCGGCGTGACCATTCCCCCCTGGGGGGTGATTTCTCGCTTTCTGTCTCTATGTCTCTCTCTGTCTGTCTGGTGAGTGCACGTGCCCTATAGCAAAAACCTCTCCAAAAAAAAAAAAAAAAAGAAGGTGCACTCCTAGTACCAGCAGTTGGCGTAATGGTTATGTCCCTGGACTCCCATGTAGTCGACCACGGTTTGAGTCCTGGACTCGGTGGCTTAAACTCACATCGGGGACGTGTACATGTGTGCCCAAAATCCCAAGAGGAGAATGGAGGAAAAGGGATTGTGACGTGACAGTTCTCCGTGGGGGGTGATTTCTTGCTTTCTGTCTCTCTGTCTGTCTCTGTCTCTCCAGCAAGTGCACAGGCCTCATAGCAAAAACCTCTCCAAAAACATCAAAAAAAAAGAGGGTGCACTTCCTGGAGGAGGTTTTGTATCCTGGTGGACCAGCAGGATTTTAAAAAAAAAGGGAAGGAGGCAGGGACCCTACAAACATATTGGAATGACCAGGTCCTAAAACACACGATACTTGTGAGGATGGGGAGCAACAGGAACTCGTGTTCATTGCTGGTGGGAAGCAAAATGGCACATTTGCTTTGGAAGATAGTTTTTTATCATACAATCCACAATCGCACAAGTTCACACAAAACATACACATAGATGATCTTCACCTTTATTCCTAATTTCCCAAACTTGGAAGCCATTAAGATATCCTTTTCAGGTTCCTGGAGGGCATTTTCAGGGGTATGTGTCTGGGCGATGGGCTCGTGTCACTTCCAGGCCATTGGCTTCTCGGGGTGCACGTGCCTGCTCTGTGTATACCAGAAGCTCCATCGCTATTGGAAGGCATTGATCGGCAGTCCCTAGTGGAAGAGCTGCCTGTCTTCACTCCTCCGCCCTGTGCCTGGACTCTCCAGCTGTGGTTGATGATTCCAGTGTTCCGAGCCAGGTTATCGAGTTTGTTGAGACCAGCCTCCTAGTCAGTGCCTCAGTGCCCCCTGCAGCCCTCAGTGCCGAGCAGACTTGTCTGTGGTATCAGAACTCCCCATCCTTCATGCTGGACTGAACCTCTGATCCTAATCATATGAAACCCCTGAAGCCTGCTCTGAATAGCAGGTGCTGTCACTCACTGGGGCCTTGCTGCGCACCAGGTGTGGTCCCTGCATTGCTCTGGACTCCCAGTCAGTCCTAGCTGAGGGGCTACAGGGGTAATGGGCGTGGAGCCTGGCCTTGAGCTCGAGCAGTGGGCTCCAAGCTCTGGGGCTCAGCCAGGCCTGACCTCCCATCTGCCGCTGCCCTGCAGGTCACCTTCATGCTGCTGGACCAGAACAACCGTGAGCATGCCATTGATGCCTTCCGGCCCGACCTGAGCTCAGCATCCTTCCAGCGGCCCCAGAGTGAAACCAATGTGGCGAGCGGCTGCCCCCTCTTCTTCCCCCTCAGCAGGCTGCAGTCGCCCAAGCACGCCTATGTGAAGGATGACACCATGTTCCTCAAGTGCATCGTGGAAACCAGTGCTTAGGCAGGCCGGCTTCCCAAGGCAACTCCAACTCAGACTGGGGGGCTTAGCAAGATGACTGAGATGTCCTGCCTTTGGCACCCAAGGTTCCAGGGCACAAGGATGGGCCAGGGCTGGCCATCAGCTTTGGGTGGTGAGGGCCTAGAAGGAGGGGGACATATTGGTTCCTCACCACCAGCCACTTAACACTGGGAGGCCCTGGGGGCCACTCTAGCTCTGAGTTTGAGGAGGACTTTGACCAAAATGTGGAGAAAATGGAACCAGGCCTGGAGCCCTGAAGGTGAACTGAAGCTGCCAGACCTCATCAGAGATGCTCCCAGGCCAGGAAGGTCTCTGAGGGCCATATTGGGAAACTGAGGACCACGTTGAGAAATGTGCTTGCTCTCTCCCTGCCCATGGTCAGAACTGGGACCAGGGGCTGTCACACCCAGACTGAGTTCCTCATCACAGGAAGTGGACAGGAAGTCCAGAGGGCTACACTGGTGGGAAAAAAACATCAAGTTGGGGATTGGATTTGAAGACCTTTAAGGTTATTCTAGCCCAGAAAGTCAGGAACCTCGTGCCTCCTGGTTCCCCTTGCCGCTTCAGAACCAGCAGGTGGATGCCACCGAGGCCTGGCAGCCCTGCTTCCCAGCATGCAGGAGCTCATACAGCCTCTGCACCCCGTGCCTCCACCCGCGAGACTCCCCATCACCTCCTCCAGGTGAAGCCAGGTCACCGTGAGCTACCAGAGGTGGCCAGAGGAAAGGGGCGTAAACTTCCTGCTTTCGCTGCTGGGAGACCCCACCACCAGTGCTTCCAGAATCCCTCGCCGTCTAAGTAGCCAGGCTATTTACTTCTCTCAGATGACTGGTCACGGCCTCTAAACCACCGAGCCTGTCCTTTCAAATATGTATAAAAACCAAAGAAATTTTTTTAATCTCTTTTCAAGTTTTCATGAAGTGCGTGGAATGGGGGCTATCGCATGGAGCCAAGTGTGGAAAGGTCACTGCTGTGTTCAGGTGGTGGCGTCAGCTCTGTAGGGGGTGTCAGAGTGCGGTCAGCTGGCAGGAGCATCGCCTCTGGCCTCAGTCTTCTCTCTTCTGTGATGGGGAGACCCAACCACTTGCTTTCCTCACTAGGACTGTGACTCTCAAAGGAGAGGCCACACAGGAGCGCCTGGAGAGAGAAAAGCCCCGGGCACCGCTACCTACCTGAATTCTCACCTGGGAGCCTTCACCGAACTTCCCAGAGACCCTGAGACCTCCTGTTGTCCCTCAGGGCTGCAGGCTGGGACCCTGCTACCCTCCCCTCCAACCTTCCCGACAACATGCTCTTCCTTGACTTGCTCGGGTTGCAATAGCTTTCACACCTTGAACCTCCAGTGTTTTCATCTGCAGATGGACCAGCAACCCTGCCTGTTCTCCCTAGCTGAGCGTTTGGGAGGATCAGAGGAGGACAGGGAGCAGCATGGCACGGTGGGCCCAGGAGATCACAAAAGTCGGGTCCCACCAGCTCTAACCCTGGCATCTCATCACGCCTCAGCCTGCTTAGTTGAGAACTGAGGAACACACCGCCCAGCCCTGCCCCGCTCACCAAATTCCCACAAGGCCCAGTAGTGGAGACTAGTGCTGCGCACCGCACCCTCCATGGCGTACAGACAGGCCTGGCTTCTCCATCCCCGCTGCTGGCCACTTGTCCGTAATGGGGACCGGCTCTCTTCCCCTTGAGGGGATATAGCCAGTGACGGTCTAGCTCAGAGCCGCTGCACCAGCAGATTCCATCCTGTCTCCTGGTCACTGAGGGCTGAGCTCAAGGGCGATTTGTAGGACAAGCTACTGTGAGCTCCATGGCGTACAGACAGGCCCGGCTTCTCCATCCCCGCTGCTGGCCACTTGTCCGTAATGGGGACCGGCTCTCTTCCCCTTGAGGGGATATAGCCAGTGACGGTCTAGCTCAGAGCCGCTGCACCAGCAGATTCCATCCTGTCTCCTGGTCACTGAGGGCTGAGCTCAAGGGCGATTTGTAGGACAAGCTACTGTGAGAGACTATTTCTCTTCACGTTTTTTAAAAATTTTTTTAAAGTTTTAATTTTACTTAGACTAGAGCAGCACCCTCAAGAGGGTCTTGTCATGCCAAGATCCTCCTTTCCCAGCCTGCAGCTTGTCAGGATCTTGGGCACGTGCACTCGTGTGCACCCAGTGCGTATGCAAGCTGACTCGAAGACCAAACTCCTGGCTGGCCGTGTGGCTTCCAGAACTGCAATTCGGATCTGCCTACTGCACCCCCAGGCTGGGCCACTCTGTACCTTTAATTGCTTATTTCTGGTGGGAAAAAACAATCTTCTTTTCAGTGAGAGCTGCAGCCCTTCTTTCAGCAAAGCATTGTTGACCCCTGTATGTGTCATCTAATGAGCTAGATGCTAGTGAGGAGAAAGGTAGGAGGTGCATCCTGCCCTCAGCAACTCTTAATTCAGTGAGGGAAACAGGCACACAGATCATTATGACTGAAGGTAAGAAAGGCTCAGAGAAAGCATAGAATCCCAGATCCATGGGGGAAAGCATGGAGGCCCTCATGGAAGAGGCGGCATTTAAATTCAGCCTAAAAAATGTTTTAGAATGTAGAGGATAGAGTTGTCGGGGAGAGTACACACTTGGAGATGGGAAGCAGCCTTGGCTATAGACAGGGTCTGTGTTGCAGGACAGTGGAGGGGAAGACAGGAAGGAAGATGGGCTGGAGCAAAGAAGATATCAAATGCAGAGTTGCTTTCTCTAAAGCGCCTGCCAGCTAACCCCTGGGCCTATTAGCAGCAGGTTGAGACAATGATGTAAAACACTGAGTAATTCATCTTCCAACAGAGCCCAGCAAAGCCCTGTGTTAAATGCACCAAACACCTGATCCTTTACAGATGACTCAAGGGTCGGGGAGGCAAGATGCGGGCAGACAAATCCTCCCTTCCATTGGCCCCTCACTCCCACAATGAGATAGACACCCTTTAATCCCTTTTTACAGATTAGAAAACTAAGGCTCGGGAGGCCAGGTGTCTCGGCCAAGGGGAGGGAGAGCTGGTATTAGAAACCAGGTCTGTTGAGACCAGCAGTTAACGTAATGGCTATGTTGCTGGACTCCCATGTAAGTCGACAGCAGTTCAAGTCTTGGACCCAGTGACTTAAACTCATGATGGGCGCGTGTGCATGTGTGCCCAAGATCCCAGGAGGAAAAGAGATTGTGGTGTGGCCATCTCCCCTGGTGGTGGTCTCTCGCTTTCTGTCTCTCTGTCTTTCTGGCGAGTGCATGTGCCCTATAGCAAAAAAAAACAAAAAAAACCTCTTCAAAAGAAAAAAAAAAAAAAAGATTTGTTTATTCCCCGAGAGAGAGAGATCCAACATACTGACAGGGTCTCCACGCTCCAGTCCATCCCCAGCCTCAGCCAGTCCCAAATCATGGCACACGAGTGTCCTCAGGGCCACCTCCGGATGAGAACCAGCTACCTTCCCTTTTGGGTTGGCCTCACAAAGCCTCACGTTCTGCCCCTGCATCACTGTCCAGTCCCAGAAACCAGGGTGTTTGCTTCTTGTTACTTTCCTTCCTGTTGACGCTTGCTTTGGGTTGGAGTCTTCAGCTGCAAAGAGGTTGCAGGGCGAGAGCAGTGGGCACCACCCAGGTTGGCCGCACCCCGTGGCCTTGACAACCCTGACTGTAAGGACAACCATTATTTATGCCTTGGAGTGCTCCTTTCTGCTCGTAAGAGACACGTACTATAGAAAAACTGGGAAACTACAAAAGTAAAGTACGGAAGAAATAAAATCACCCATGAGCTCCGTGTCTGGAGAGTACGAGTGGGAACGTGGTGGTAAGTTACCTTGTCTTTTTGAAAAGGTGATTAGAAACATGCACATGTATATATCTAGACTTTCTAAAGTATAGTTAGAATCAGGACCAGCAGATGGCATAATGGTTACATTGCTGGACTCCCACAGAGTCGACTGTGGTTCAAATCCCAGACCGGCAGCTTGAAACTCATGCCAGGTGCATGTGCATGTATGTCCAAAATCCCAAGAGGAGAATGGAGGAGAAGGGATTGCAGTGTGGCTATCCCCACTGGGGGTGATTTCTTGCTTTCTGTCTCTGTCTTTCCAGTGAGCACATGTGCCCTATAGCAAAAACCTTTCTCAAAAAAAAAAAATATGGAATTAATTGGACTACATCTCAGAACTCACTAAGAAATTTAACTTCACATAAGCACTAAGAAAACATGGGTTGAACTCTCTTCTGATCGAAGGAGAGGAAGACATGGTTCCCAGTAGCAAGCTTTTGTTTCTCATGCTTTCTAAAAGTTTTATCTGCCTGTCTGCCCCTTTCTTACTCATAGGGATTTTGCGTGATTTCTACATAAATTATAAATTTAAGGAGATGTGTTTTTCCTTTATCTATTATTCAGCCCCCTTGGATTAATGAAGAATAAGAGCTCCAGAGAAGCCATGAGAAATAACTGATAAATTAACTATACCTGAAATGGATATTAGAGCGTAGACACTTGATCTCATCTTCTCAGTTCTCCTTGGTAGTAGAACTATTTTTTTTTCACCCCCATAGTAGATGAATAAGTAAAGTGCTCATGACTAAAATATATGAATAAATTTCCCTAGCTTGTGCTTCTAGAATGTATACATTATTTTTCTGGCAAGGTACTAAATATTGTTCAGTAAAAATAATCCTTTTCAAGATTGACAAACTGCTTTAGTGAATTATATAAAAAATTCATGCTTGAAGACACAGTATAAATTCTCCGTTACCATAGGGCAGAGTTTTTGTGTAACTGTGTACTGAGACTAACTTAACTCTTGACTTTGAGATTACAAGAAAGATCAGATGCAAGAGCTTAGCTAGTGTTAAAAACATCCTCCTACGTGTTCTGCCAAAAGTTGAAAAACTATTAGCAAAAGTAGCTCATTTGAAGTAGCATGAAATGTGAACATTTAACTCTAAGCTAGCTAGAATTTGATCAAAGGGATCTAAAAATTTAGCCCACAATTCAAGTTATATTCTCATTTTATGTATAGCTTAAAATATATTTAATTCTTTCCTTTTATAAGGGAATTATGGGTTAAACATGCATTGTAGTTGAATTTATAAGAAAGAAGTTGGACATGAGAGGGAGCAGTTACAGAGCTGGATACTAGGCTAACCATTGAGGATTTGTCCTATGGATGGCCTGTAATAATTAAAGGACTTATAACTGAATGGGTAACAGGCAAGAAACTTTTTAAGAATGTCAGCCTGGACGTAGTATACAGGATGGGTTTGCTAGTATCCAGCTGGTGAGAGCTTGGAGCCAGATTGCCAGTTGGGATGATATGAAAATTCATAGTAAGTCATGATATAAGTCTGGATTAGGGTGGCGACAGTAGGAATAGAGAATGAAATAAAAGGCAGAGATATTATTAGGGCAGAGTTGAAAAGACATAGCAACTTGCTAATTGAGGTTAAGTAAAAAGTATGTTTTGTAAAATTGCTGTTTTTGTCAGAAACAGAAATCTTAGACCCATCTTCTACAGGAAATCCATTTTTGTACGTTTAGCATATTATAATTCTTCATACTAAAGGAGATAATGCTACTTGATTAAAACCCAATTTTGAGAGACACTGTCGTAAGAGACACGTACTATAGAAAAACTGGGAAACTACAAAAGTAAAGTACGGAAGAAATAAAATCACCCATGAGCTCCGTGTCTGGAGAGTACGAGTGGGAACGTGGTGGTAAGTTACCTTGTCTTTTTGAAAAGGTGATTAGAAACATGCACATGTATATATCTAGACTTTCTAAAGTATAGTTAGAATCAGGACCAGCAGATGGCATAATGGTTACATTGCTGGACTCCCACAGAGTCGACTGTGGTTCAAATCCCAGACCGGCAGCTTGCAACGCATGCCAGGTGCATG